TCACGAGGCTAACCATGATGGGAGGAGCCTTCTCCACGCACTCCACGCACCCCACGCACCCCACGCACTCCACGCACTCCACGCACCCCACGCACTCCACTCTGTGCTTCATCATAGGCCTCAAAACAGTGGGGCATCCGACCACGGCCTGAAACCACAAACCAAACGAGGCCTTCCTTGCTTTAAAGTCACTTTTCTCGGGTGGTTTGTCAGGAAAGTGAATCCCCCAAAGGACCCATAGCTTACAGCACTTGTAACTCCGGCTCCGGGGGATCAGACACCTCTTCTGGCCTTTAATAAACATAAAGTAAAAATAAATATTTCAAACACATAAAAGTATAAACCTTTGGAGAGAATGGGACCAAAATTAGTTTGTAGGTGTGACAAAATGAACACATGTACACACGAAGTCTCTGCAAAAGATTAAATGCAAAGGGTGTCCACAGGCTGGGAGGTCTACAGCAGAGGTTGTTTGGGGTAATTGAGAAACCACAAGACTATCTCTAATTACAGGGACCTGTCCCAGAAAAAGAGGTTCTACAAAGAACCCTAAAACCTCAATTTAAGCATTCTTCTTTCACCACACCCTTGAAACAGGGCTGTCAGCAAATTGAGTTAATGTTTCTTGTGAACATAACACTGGTAAGATTTATGGACATACAGAGCTCTCTCTTTGACTCCAATGCCCACCCCTTTTTGGACATCAGCTGTGGCTCGCCAGGAAGGCACTGAATTATCCCAGAAAGTCCACCTCCAGCTCTGAAAATCCACCAGAGGCCAGATGTGGTAGCCAGCGCTAAGGCTAGCATCCGGGAGAGAAGGGCCAGCCTTCTCTTCCTAAGCCACGCAGCTCTGGGGAAGCAAGGTAAAATCAATAGAAATCTGGCAGCCGGAGTGGGCAGGACACAGGTAACGAATGGCCAGCTGGTTCCTCCATCCTGGTTGAGCAAGGGTTGCCTCCCTCTGTTTGGCAATGTAAACACTGGGCCTCAAGCACACGCCCACTCCAGGTTTCATAATACCCAAGGGTATCCCAACTGTGCAAGAGCTATTTTCAAATTCTCAAAATCAGTGTTTCCTCTTCCAAAAGCCATCCAAGAAGACAGATGGCCCGTCATACAGTCAAGCAAATGGCAAGAGGTCATCACTACCCTGAAGCAAGTCCATAATCCCTTTCATCTCAGGAAAGGGAGAGGAAATGACTCAAATTTGGTAAAACCGTTTAGCAAAAATACGTCCCAAAGGCTGAGAATGAACCAATGGTCCACAGCCAAACAGATCAAGAAGAGCAAGACAATATGCCAGTGTTCTTTCTTTGTTGAAGAGCGAATTTCAAAATTGGGAAAGGAAAAATGGTGTGGGATGGACGTATGGATGGGATGGACGTATAGATGTAAAGATGGTGTGGGAAACTCCAGCTCTGCATTGAACTCCAGTGTAATGAGATTTCCACCAAAATCTTTTCTCAGCCTGAGCCAGGCCTAGCCCCACCCATGCATAACCTCGGTCCTCGGGAGGCTGAGGCAGGTGTACACGTACGAGCAAGTCAGCCCGGTCTACAGAGACAGCGCCAAGCCAGCTTGCACTAGAACAGGAGACAACCTAGAGTTCTCTAACCAAGAGCCATGAAGGAACATAAGAGGTGACGAAAGGGCTGGAGAGATGGCTTAGTCGTTAAAGGCTAGGCTCACAACCAAAAATATAAGAGGTGACAAAAGCCAAGACCATACTGGAGGCAGGGCTGATGGCATTGGGGATGTCAGGGAAGACCACCTGACACTCCTGCCAGAGACGGACGGCCTCTACAGATGCTGCAGGCAGGTCCCTATCTGCAGCCATGGGCACATCCTTCTGGGTGGATGGGATAGACTTATATTTAGTGTCAGGCTGGATCTGCAAAGCGAAGCCATCAGCCAGGCATCCTGAGCACCAAAGCCAAAGGGGATAAGCCGCAACTCCCCTTCAGCCTGAGCCTGTGGCTTGCCCAGAGACACACAGCAAGCCCGTGACCAGTTTCCAACCATGCCTATCTAGGAGCCTTTCCTACCACATCCTTCTGTAGCAATGTGGCAGAGTAACACCGTGGGTGGGCAGGACACCAGCAAAGACAGTGCAAGGAAGTCCATGGTAACTCTGGAAGACGAGAGGGACCTGCAACCCGACAGGGGTGGCTTTCTTAAGGGCACGGAAGGGGAAAAAAACAAAAGCAAGCTTATACCCCCAAGGAAACATTATCTGTGATTATAAATATTTCATGGGCAAAGAAAGTACCGGCTGTGGGCATGGTGGGGTGGGGGGGGTAGGCTACAAATTAGATCTCCCTTTGCAAAGTGATAGGATGGCTGGAAGGGCAACCAGGCCGGGGCTATTCTGGGCAGTGTGCTCCAAGATCCTGCGTCACAGGCACTAGCCTATGTTGAAACCACAGGCTTCTAGTGGTCAGCACAGAACACCTTGGGAGGAGCGTTTAAGTCCTTAAGAGACTGGAAGGGACAGCAAGGGTAGAGTCATTCAGAGGACAGTGACGAGCTTCTACAGCTGGGAGGCAGGTGAGGGGGCTGAGAGGGCACAGCAGAACAGCTAGCACCCTGAAAACACACGGCAGGGCAGGGGGAGGGGAGGGCCCAGCTCTGGCTAAGTGAACAGCCGGAGAAGCTCTGAGATAGCACAGGTCGAGCTGCCTTGTGAAGGGCAAAGGTCCAGGCGAAAGCAGGTTGTGTCAGGCTGAGGACAATCGCTGCTTTCCTTTGCCCCAAGACAGAGGCCTCATCCACCCCACCCCCACCCCCGCGAGTCCACCTTCCAGGAGCTGCGGAGACAGCAGAGAATTAAGAGTCCACTAAGCCCCAGCACCAAGGCTGTAAACACACTAGCGAAGCAGCGGTGTGTTGGTCAGTGCTCTGCCACAGCTGGGCTACCCCTAGAGTCCACTATGGCAGCCACAATGCACCAGTCCTTGCAGAGGGCCAGGTTAGGAAGGACACAGGTATGCTCCCAAAATACCCAGGATCCCTTGAAGCAAACTCAGCCAGAGGGGACCTGGGAGCTAGACCTACTCGGGTCAAGACATAAGCCAAGTTTCTGCCTCTTAATATTCAGGCGGTGGCTCCCACCTCCATCCCCACCTGCTAAGGTTTGCCCTGAGGTGTTCCAGATAGTCAAAATGGCAGTCTGTAGGATCATAGCTGGTAGGAGTGAATAGAGGCCTCAGCAATAGTAAAAGTGAGAGCTGGGGCTGCTAGGAGAAAGACAGAGGCCTGGTCTGAGGCCCAGGTTTCCTACATGGCCTCTGAAACTGTCCTCCACCTAAACCCAGGGACTGTGAGAAGCACATACCTGGGTCTTTCCACAGCACACGACTGCTATAACTTAAGACTATACACGGCTACCCATTTGGCACCTCAGAGGAACTGCCACTTACCCACCGGACTACCCCTTCCCTCAGGTCCTCAGGCCTCTCCAAGAACACCCAAGCTCCATGTTCTGAAGGGGTGGATCTAGGAACCCCAGACTCATCTTTGACCTCCTCCATATCAGCCAACTGCCAATCCCACCTCTTCAAGCACCTATGTCTGAGTGTGCCGCAGTCCACGGTGGCATCTTGTAGTACTAGAGTCCGTCCTCTTCAAACCCTCCTCAAGGAACAGGCAACCCACCTCCCCTCCTCGTCCCTAAATACCCATTACATGCATCTTAATGCCTTTGGATAGGATAAGCCTCCTTTCCTGGGCCTTGCAGCTAGGAGTCAATGGAGGTCCACTCTTCTCCTGACTTGGTATGACAGGATCGGAAGTGGCCTTGAAGTCTCACAGGTGAAAGGTCTCGGTATTCACTCCGAGGTCTGTAAACACGCTCCTTTCTCCCTAGCAAATTCCCACTCCTTCAAAAGGACAGGAGTGCACACCCGCTCATTAATTATTCACAGATCATAAACACTCACACAACTGCTTAGGTCTAACACACTCCCAACGGCCAGAAGGCTCCCTCCTGCCCCTGCCCAGTTCACACTGCACCCAGCCCCTTAAGGAAACCCTCATCTGGGCTTCTGTCACATTGCCTATTTGAAATGCAGCTGAGGCAACCCTTTCTCTGGGACAGCACTCACCTGAAGGTCTAAGGCTTCACTATAAACCCTTGTCAGAGGAATTTATTGGGCTCCTTTGTAATACTCTTTAAGTGCCGGGAGGACGAGGGCCACGCCTGCTTCCTCTCACCTTTGCTCTCCCGGAGCATGCATGTGCACAGTCATAATACAAAAAACAGCCAATACCGAGCGCTTCCTGTCACCAGGGTCTGCTGCAGGCGTTCATGGGCACTGCGTCTTTTAATCTTTGTATCAGTGGCACCAATTGGTCATCATCATCACACATCATGAGGAGACACTGAGGCTCAGAAAGATAAATCAACTTGCCCAATGTCATGGGGGGGGGAGCTATGACTCAAACCCAGGCACCCTGAACCTAGAACCTGTGACCACCACCCTCGTGAACCTGTCGGAGGCCAAGAAGATGCTGTAATAAGTGGCTATTGGATCTTTTAATTTGTATTTTTTTTATTTTTATGTATAGGTGTGTCCTTCGAGCAGGTGTATCTGTGCAGCACATGCATGCAGTCTCCACAGAGGCCAGAAGGGTGCATCGATCCATCAGAACTGGAGTTAAAGAAGGTTGTGAGCCACCGCATGGGTACTGGGAATGGAACCTGATCTTCTAGAAGAGCAGCCATTGCTCCTAACCACCAAGCCATCTCTCTAACCTCACAGTAGCTTAAACAAATGACTTTGTCAATTGAGAAGACTCTATTAAAGAAATAAGGGAGTACTTACTCGCCACAAGGAGATCAACAAGTAAAAAGAAAAGAAACAGTTGTGCAGTCACTGCACAGGCCCAAGGTTGTCAGATGTAAGAGAAGCCCAGGCCATGCCTGGAGTCTGGGGAGGACACCAGCACTCAACAGCTTTAGTTACCCACCTCACGACCACAGCTCAGACAGCACAGGAAGAATACACACAGTAAAACATTTATTCTGTTCCAGGACACTGTCACCAGTGTGGAGTGAATAGCCGCTTAGCTCAGAGCCTCTCTGCTCAAACAAAGTTCTGAGCGATGGCTAACACCTTGGAATATTCTCCTTCCCTTCGGCGGAGGCTGGTCGGGATGGGTGTTTTAATTCGGGTCCCCACAGGGTTGCCATTGTCCTCGATGAGGACCACGTTGTTGGAATCAAACTTCGGGGTCATTCGGGGACCAGGCATTCGTTGTCCAACGATGAGTGCTTTCTTCTTCTGCCCCCTGATGGCCAGCAGGATCTGGTCGCCCACCTTGCCTACCCCACTCTTGTTATAGACGTGGATGCACCGGGGAGGCCGATGGTACGGGGTGTTTCCCAGGGCGCTGTTGTCCACGACACGGACCCGAGTCATCTTCTGGATTGCACTGAGGCTCCCAGAGGTGCTAATGGGAGAGAAAAATCAGTCTGTGACAGAGATCTCTCTGGGCCTCTCATAGGGCAGGAAGGTGCATGCCAGCTACATGCATGTTCATACATGTACAGACAGGTGCATGCCAGCTACATGCATGTCCATACATGCACACACTAAGCAGAGTGACCCGGAACCAAAATAAAAGGTCAGGGGTTGTAAAGATTAACTGCCCACTTCCTTATAATGGAGAGCTTCTAAGGTTTGCTGGCAAAGACCTGTATCCTAGCACTTGAGAGGCTGAGGCAGAGGACCACAGACTTGAGGCCACTCTGTGTTACTCTCTCGTAAAACCAAGAGCTTCCATCGGGTGTCAAGATATCAATTTTTCTGCAACAGGAAACTTGATGGCATACTTCATCTCAGCCTTTGCTTTCTGAAAGTTGAGGAGGGCTAAAGGCGGCTCCATGGGCTGCCTCACCCCATCAATCCGGCAAAACCTGCTCCCCCAGGTCCTGCTTCCTTGTTCTCAGGAGTCTGGGAACCTGGAGACTCTATTCTGAGGGAGCCCTGACACAACGTGGCAGAAACTACAAACTGTCACGATAACAACTTTTTAACCCTAGCAAAGGGGTCTCGTTTGCTTTTGAGATGGGTCTTCTACATTGCCAGTTCCTGAGACCGAGCGAACCTCCTGCCTTAGCCTGTAAACATGGTAACAGGAGTGTCTTGCGGCACCACTACCCTCTAAACCCGTTCCTTGTCAGAAACAGAAGAGTCTCAGGAGCAGACCCAGTCTTGCCCCTGTGGAGCTCCATCTCTGGATGGTGTGATGTTTCCCAGGACAACCCAGGGCCCCCAGTACCTCTCCCCACATGCCTGCCCCAGGGCCTCCTGCTAGGGACTCCACCTCCGCGCCATCTCTTCTTTGTTTAGCCTTGACTTTCCACTGCAGAGCTCTCTTCAACTCGTGCTACACACACCCCGCAAACTCCAGAGGTCCCAAGTGACCTCCCACCCACTCTGCAAGCCCCTCCAGTGCGGCTTCCCCAGGAACACCCTAGAGGCTTGGGCAGGCAGGACCCACTTCCCTTCTAATCGCCCTCACCCTCCTCCCCTATCGGCTCTACTCACACACATGAAAGTGGCCCACAGAGGACAACAGACAGCCACTGGTACTGTCCCCACCACCACGTGGGTCCTAGGGATGGAACTCAGTCAGGACACCAGGCTTGGTGGATGCCACCATTTACTGTGAGCCACTTCCCCCACGCCTACCACAGCTTCTTAGAGTTAGCTGCTTGGCAGCGCGTTTCTGAGAGAGGCCTACCTTTAGAACTCTTCTGCACAAGAAGCAGTTCTCACTCATCTCTGCAGGATGCAGGAAGAAAGGGGAAATAGGGTTTCAAAGGGAGGGCACTGAGGCTGAGGTGGGGCCATCTTGGTTTGGTGAGGAAGCATGGACTGACAATGACCGTGCAATGTTGTAATTAAAGGTTAATTTTACTGTGTTTCCTGGTCCAAGAATGCAATTCTGGCTACATGGGAGACCGAAGCAGGAAGATGGCAGGTTCAAAGTCATGTGGGCTCCAGGGTGAGATCAAAGTCAGCTTGGGAAACTTGTCTTGTCTCAAAATTACAAGTAACACAGACAGCTGATAGCATGCACCTGTAATCCCAGTGCTCAGAAAGTAGAAGTGGGAAGTGGCTAGCCTGGTCTACATGGAAATATTTAGGCTTGTTATAGCTATTAGTAAAACTCTGTTGTATAAAACAAACAAAAACAACAAAAATAAAAAACCTAGATTTTAGTCCATGGTCCTGAAAAAAAGAAATTCATTCTTAAAGAAAGTTTGGGGTCAGCAAGATGGTTGAGCAGATCAAGGTGCCACCAAGCCCAAAAACCTGAGTTTGATCCCTGAGAACCACACTGTGGAGAACCAATTTCTGCAAGTTGTCCTCAGACTTCCACATGTGTACCATGCCCAAACACACACAGACACACAGACACAGACACACACACACACACACACACACACACACACACACACACACGCAGAGTGATTTTTTCAAAATGTAAGGGGTTTAAAAGCCCTAGGAATGACAGGCACAAGCAGCACTCTAAGGAACTGACAGGGACTGAAAACAGCTTCCATCACAGGCCACTCTTTCCTCACAGCCACCTAACCCGTCCCCCATGCTGATCCCAACAGCTCTCTGAGTTCCTACTCCCATTCTAGTCCTACAGGATCCAGCCAGAGTGACAGGCTTACCAGGGACACTCCTTAAGAACAAGATGTTAAGTATTACCTGAAGCAGCGCTGGCTGAATGCTCTGCTGACATGGGCAAAGGAGCCCCAGAGCCCAGGAAGGACAGCCATGGGGTCCCAAGATGGCAAACCTGCAAGAAAGGGGACACAGGCTGTTCTCTCTGGGGACATGTGTGAGAGGGGACACTGTAGCACAAGTTCATTAGTCACTAAATAAGAATCTTTTGAAAGACACACGGATGATTAGACAGAACTCCAGCTCCCAATTCTGCTGACTCACACTCCCCGAAGGTCAGCTGTAACAGACCAGCATAGAGAACGCCCATCGCCCTCAGCTTCCCCAGGCAGCAGAAAACACGGGAGTCCTTCTGCATACCTGAGTTAGCCACAACTTCCCAAAGGGGCCACAAAATTGAATGCAGTTCCCTTCTTGACACCAGTGTGCCTCCTGAAAGTGTGCCAGTTCAGCACCCAGGAAAAAAACAGATTAGCCCAGCCTGGAGGCCAGGTCTGTAATCCCGACTATTGCGGGTTGGAGGAGCCACATTCCACTCGTGGCTGGACGAGACGGTGAGAGCCTGTCTAAAAACTATTAAACCAGGTGCCGTGGCTCACGCCCGAAATCCCAGCTTCTGGGAGGCCTAGGCTGCAGAATGAAAAGTTCAAGACCTGTGAGCTACACGGTGAGTTCCAGGCCAGCCTGGGCTATAAGACCCTGACTCAAAGAAATCAGTAAAGACAAAACAAAACATGGGGCTGGAGAGGTGGCACAGTGGTTAAGGGCACTAGGTGTTCTTGCAGAGGACCTTCCGGCCTCCTTGAGCACCAAGCACATATGTAGGCAAACACTAGAGTGCATGAAACAAAAATAAATGATTTTTTAAAGAGCTGAGAACAGCTCAGGGGTAGGGTGCTTACACACATGCTGGGCTCAGTTCCTAGGCTGAAGTGAGGTGAAAATGTCGCGGATCTAAGCAGCTTCCTAAGCTGCCGTAAGAATCACCCTTCCTCCAAATTCGAATGCCAGGACACCTGTAGAGCCCAAGGTCGGTCAGCAGAGTAGGGCCAAAGCCACCCTTGCCAAGGCACTGACCAAAGTCTATATTTGGGTGCGTCTCCCCCACAGCATGGAAAAACATCCACAGACAGGAAACAAAGCTACAGCACCTAGGAGTCAGGAGTCCAGTTCACAGGACTTGCCTCTGTTACTCCCTAATACAAGCTCGCGCACACACACACACACACACACACATGCACCCCCGAAAGGTCCTGTAGGGCATGAGCATCATGCAGCATGCTGAGGGATATCACCCAGGGGGGGATCCCAGCTGTCAGCAGGCCAGCTCTTCCACCCAGGCGCCTGACTGCAGACGGCACCGCTGGAGAGCCCCGCTGGAGAGCCCCGCAGAGCCATGCCTGCGCACTGGAGTATTTACACAGCTCTGCTCAGTGAGGCTTCAAGGCGCCACAGATAAGACTATTTAATAAAGGTGGTGGGGAGAATTCACCACTCATTTCCACGTGGGGGCATTGCATAAATGCCAGTCACTTGGTGCCTCGCCGCAAATCCCAGCACCTCAGTGTTCTCCTTGAGACACTTGTGAAGTGCTGGGCTACTCTACAATCTGAAAACAACCTGACGCAGATAGCAGCTAACTCAGGGAACCCGAGCACTGGACAGATGAGGCCAGCTTTACTAAGATCCTGTGCAAGTCATCTGTGAGCCCAGGCACTGGCGATGTAGAGAACCCAGCCCGGGCTGCGCGCTCCCATCTCACTTCATAGATGAGGATACTGAGGTACAGACACTTTTAGTGATCTACATAGAGCCTCACAAGGAGCCCCAGCCTCAGACCTCTGCACCCCCAGGCTTTGAGTTGTCGGTCCCTCTGTTTTCTTGAATCTTTGCTGAGGTGGTTATACGAAGCCACATATTAGGCTAAATGCTGTGCACTGTCATCTCATTTAACTCACAAACACTACCATGCAGTGTATACCATTACTGACCTCTCTCTCTCTCTCTCCCTCTCTCTCTCTCTCTCTCCCTCTCCCTCTCCCTCTCCCTCTCTCTCTCTCACACACACACACACACACACACGAGACCAGAGAAAAAGTTGACCAAGGTGAAACAGGGGTGAGTGACAATTTGAACCACAGTAACCTGCTTCCTGAACTGTCACACTTACTCAAGCAAGGGTAAACACGGCACCCGTAAATATTAGTATTTCTCCACAACTGTTAACAAACTCTACTTCCATCAAGAATACTGACATTTGCCAGGTGTGGTACATGCCCTCAATCCCCAGATTTCAGGAAGCCCAGGTAGAGTTTGAGGCCAGCCTGGTCTACAATAGCAAGTTCCAGGACAGCCAGGGGGCTACAGATAGACCTCCATCTCAAAAACCAAAACAACACTGATTACATGTCCACTTTGATCATAGGGAGCTCACTGCCTACTGAAGGACTTGAAATACCAGGTGAGGAGACCCCCTTCAATCTGACCTAAGGTTTGGCTATGTCCTGTCTGGGGAGCACTCAGTGACTTCCCAGGCCCCATCCAAGATTTAAAGACAATCTGTGGTGTAGGGTTCAAAAGGGCTCATGGTCTGTGTATAACTAAAAGAGGGTACAACTCACCACATCTCTGATGAGCAGCCAGTCTGTGCCCTCCAATGCCAGCAGGCCCTCAGGCTCACCCAGAGGAAAGGGACTCCCTGGTTATTCAAGATGAATTGATGAAGCTCACATTGTCGATCCTGGGGCGCAGGAACCTCATCTCTGCAATGGGCTCTTAGACTCCTTGCTACTTACTACCCCAAATTCAGAAACTTAGGACACCTCAAATGGCCAAGGTATTGGGGAGGCGGGAACTGTGTGCCCTACCCTCGAGCACAGGGGCCATTCCTATAGAGAAGACTTCAAGTTTTTTTGTATGACAGGGTTTCTCTACGTAGCCTTGGCTATCCTAGAACTCAGAGATCCGCCTGTCTCTGCCTCTGGGCACTGGGATTAAAGGTGCATGTCACCACTGCTCAACTTTCTTAAGAAAAAGCCCATGATTACTTTCAGTTTCTAAGGTATCTGGTACTGACTGTGACCTCTGACCTCAACCGCAGCTGACTTAGCAGTGAAGACAGCAGCATGCACTGCTGTGGCCTGAAGGCACAGGCGCAGACACTCACCTGCTTCTCCAACACTGGGAAAAGACCTCAGGTCCCGAAAAACAGCAGGAGAGCAATAAATAAACTAGAAGCCCGCCCACACATGCTGACGAGACACAGGGACCTCACAGGGAACCAACCCCTCTAAGGGTCTCCTGGTGTCAAGATGGTGCTAGTGGTTGGGGAAGCACATGCTTTGTCTGGAAGGCCCTGGAAGTATGTCCTAGTGTAGTGTGAACACTGTCCACCACTAAATAACCACCTCGGATGGGGACTTCAAAGAAACTCTTAACAGGCCTTTGTGTTATTTGCTAGCAAGAGTCCATCCTGTAGACAGGCTCTGAGGCTTGGTAGACCCTAGCACACAGAATGCTGTCTCTTTCTAAGCCTTGTGTTTGCCTGGATGGTCCTCCATATTTCTTCTGACACTCACTTAGACGGAGCCAGGTTACTGGGAAGATTCCAGTGCTAGAGGTGGCCTTTCATGTGACTTCCTGGCCAACTCAGGGCATTATCGTCCTATTTCAGAGTGTGAATCACAACCTGCCCTTTGAAGGGCAGGGCAGAGATGATCTAATCAATGAGAAGCATGGCCCTTTCCCCGCTTGGTTAAACTCCATTATGCTGCAGAGGCATAAAGGGTGGGGATTTGCAGGTGTGAGGTGCACACTAGGCTCATCCATGCACGTCCCACTGGGATGCATGCTCTGTGGGGAAGAGGCCTGCCCTGCTTGGTTAGAGCTGGGGGGTGGGGGGAGAGCAGCTACTGACACAAGGCTACAGCTAAGGGCCTGTCGAATAGAGCCCAGAGTTTCCGTGTGTGTTTGTGTGTTCTGACTTTTTTTTTTTCCTTTTTTCATTTTTCAAGACAGAATTTCTCTGTGTAGCCTTGACTGTCCTGGAACTCCATCTGTAGACAAGGCTGGCCTCGAACTCAAGAGATCTACCTGCCTCTGCCCCCTGAGTGTTGGGATTAAAGGCTTGCACCACCACTGCCTGGCTTGACTTTTTCATGCATCTAGGTTTCTGATGTCTTAGAGCAGTAGTTTTCAACCTATGGGTCATGACCCCTCTGGGGTCAAAGGATTTTTTTCATAAGGGTTCCCTAAGACCATTGGAAAACACAGATATTTGCATTATAATTCATAACAGTAGCAAAACTACAGTTATAAAGTAGCAATGAGGCCGGGCAGTGGTGGCGCACGCCTTTAATCCCAGCACTTGGGAGGCAGAGGCAGGCGGATTTCTGAGTTCGAGGCCAGCCTGGTCTACAGAGTGAGTTCCAGGACAGCCAGGGCTATACAGAGAAACCCTGTCTCGAAAAACCAAAAAAAAAAAAAAAAATAAAGTAGCAATGAAAATGCTTTTATGGTTGGGGGTCACCACAACCTAAGGAACTGTATTAAAGGGTTGAGGCATTAGGAAGGTTGAGAACTACTGCTTTAGAGTAGTTTTCATTTTCAGTTAGGTTTCTTTTTTGTTAGGTCTGGTGGATTTTTGCTGTTATTCATACTTAGGGCTAGAAGAACAATCAGAAAGTACCCACACTTGGTATGCTTTGTGGGGGGTGGGGAGAGCACCGTTACCTGAGGATATTTATTTATTATTGTGTGTACGTCATGTAGACACCAACTGTGGAGTCAGATGTCTCCTTCCACCTTTACCGGTTCTGGGGAGCAGACTCAGGTTCTCAGACTTGTGCTTAGATGCTGCTGCCTAGCTGAGCCATCTTTTGCAGGTATTACTTGGGTTTTGAATTTCAGTTACAAAGTAACCAGCAAAGTGTCTCGCTATACAGTTATGCAGTACAATGAGCATCAGAGACCTATACATTGTTTCCAAGCCAGGTCTGCGAGCACTCGCTCTGGAGGAAGGAAGCAGAAGAGAGTCACCTTTAGCCTGGCAATTCTAAACCAGCTTCATTTTACAGAGTGATTCCGTCTCCAAAATCAAACAAATCATGTTAAGCAGGAAAAAGCAAAGGCCTGGCCACGCTGAAGACCACCATCCTTCCACACGAACCCTTCCCTTCATTTTGGCCCAACAAATACTCATATTTGTGGCTTAAACACTTGTTATTGTTTCCCTACTGGTCCATTCTCTCTCTCTTTCAAGAGTTTATCTTGTGTATATAGTTTAATCTCATACAAGTTTAACATGTTGCCAATTCTCAAAGTATTCTCACCAGAGCACTGTCTGATGATTTCATTCCTTTGAATCCATTGGGAACAAAAACAAATAAGAGCCTCTGCCTGAAGGAGGCTGGCCCAGTGAGGACTTATATCATTTTGCAGGTAGAGGAATGAAATCCAAAATGGTACCACTGCTTGCCACTCCACCCAGGTTATAAGGCAACCAAGTCCAGACCAGAGCTCAAACTTGTTCCTATCTCAGTATACTCTGTAGGGCAGGGGTATGGTTCAAATGCAGTTCTACCCACTAAAAACGTCACCAAAACCAAATACAAGTTCAAAGCCAGCCTGGGCTACATGAGACTGTGTCAAAAAGTAAAGAAAACAAACAGCAAACCAAGGCCAGGTGTGGTGGGTCACCCCTATAGTAACAGTATTTGGGAGGCAGAGGCAAGTGGCTCTCTGTGAGTTCAAGACCAGCCTGGTCTACATATTGAATTCCAGGCTAGCCAGGGCTACATAGTAAGAACCTGTCAATAATAATAATAATAATAATAATAATAATAATAATATAAAACCACACACAGCACAGCCTAAGGCATAGCAGAGGCTGATGTGACTCACCTCCCAGGTATGGGCTTCCCAGCATCAGTACCAAAGAGCAGAGCTCCTTTTAACGACATGAAGATGAATTTCTACGACAGCTGCCACTGAACTCTTCTCAACTTGGTGTGCAGTTTTTATCTTATGTTTAACTTGCAATGAGGACTTAACTACGGCAGTGGCAAGGAGCCAGGAATAAGAAGTCAGGTAGCCAGAGGAATGAAGGACAGCAGGGTTAGACCCAAAGAGGAAATGCTACTTGCAGGACTCATCTCTCAGCGCCAGCCTCTCCCCTCTGAGAAGTCTGCGACCTTTGTATCACTTCTCCGGGTCTCTGAATCGAGGACAAATGGCTCACTGGGAAGAGTAACGCCACTTTGATATCTAAGTGCTTTAGCTTTGATTAGGGGAACAACCACTCAAGGTGGGGAATCCTTCTGGTTTACAGGGTTAAACAGCTGGTTTCCTGTGCTCGGGGTTGGAAGAGTGGTCTCACTCCTCATCACAAGGGTCTCCCTCCTCCCTAGAAAATCACACAGTCCTCCAAGTCGTCCCAGCTTAGAGGAGAGGGGAGACAAGAAAGTGCTTCCTGACCTTCCGAGGACATGCATGATTTTTATAGGTGTTTTGATGGGACACCTCCTCTGGGACCGCACACATTTTGTGACCCAGAACAACACTGTGAGTCCTGAATCACAGTCCTTTCTTGAACACTGACTATAACTGTTAACATACCTATAAAATTATACCAGATAAACCTTCAACCTCTAAAATGGACGACTGAAATGGGGTTGGGTGGCACACACATTTAATCCCAGCACTTTGGAGGCAGAGGTAGAAGGGTCATAAGTCTCACATAAACAGACAAACCAATAAATGCAGGCTAAGCTATGCCCTGGCTTCTTGAGGCCTTCCCAAGATCCCATAGACCCATGTAAAATAAATAATGGGAAAATACATTTGGGCAGGTCCACATACGACAGTGGACATCACTATCCATGACAGAGGAGCAGACAAGACACTCTTTAAAGGACTTTTGGCTTAATCCCAGCACTTGGGAGGCAGAGGCAGGAGGATCTCTGAGTTTGAGGCCAGCCTGGTCTACAGAGTGAGTTCTAGGACAGCCAGGGCTACACAGAGAAACCCTGTCTCAAAAAAATAAAAACAAAACAAATCAAAACAAGAAAACAGATAGAAAAGTTAAATAAATAAATAAAAGTAGTTAGTAATGAAAAAGGATCTGCTATATTATGCTTTACATAAAGCAGGTTATCCATTTTATCCACAGGGGTTCTTGGATGTGTCTTTCCTGTGGGACTTTTTACATAATTGTACTGATTTGGGTGTGTATTTGTGGAAAACTAGCATGACCCACTCCCTGGAACAATAAAATTCACTTTGAGGCCTAATAGCACTGATAATGGATATCTAGAAGACAGAAGTAGAGGGCCTGGTAGCCTGATCTGGGAACACTGGAAGATATTTCTGAAATTCTACTACTTTAAAAAAATAAATAAAGTGACAATCCGAGCCTCTGGTTCCTGAGTCTGTTTCTCAAGTGGCATGCTGTAATATGCCCAGAATCTTGGATGATGCAAAAGTCCTTAATTTTGCCAGGGCGGTGGTGGCGCACGCCTTTAATCCCAGCACTTGGGAGGCAGAGGCAGGCGGATTTCTGAGTTCAAGGCCAGCCTGATCTACAGAGTGAGTTTGAGGACAGCCAGGGCTATACAGAGAAACCTTGTCTCAAAAAACAAAACAACAACAACAACAAAAGTCCTTAATTTTGTTTTTTGGAGGGTTTTGTGCCACCACAGGTGTGCCACCACAGGTGTGCCACCACAGGTGTGCCACCACTACCAACCAAGCCCCATCAAAAACTGTTTACTCAATACAGCTCCTCAGAACCCAGACCTACAGACTCCAGCCACCAGGCAGTCTACAGTTACAGCCCTGGACAGTCTGCAGTGACAGCTGCAACTCCATCTTCTTTCCCTTACCACCAACAAAATCCTCAATGTTGGGGGATTTGTATGTTTGATTTGGTTTTGTTGAGACACGGTCTCAGGCAATCTCAAGCTGGCCTTACATGCCCAAAGCAGCTAAGGATAGCCTTGAACACCTGCCTGCATCTGGGATTACAGGCAAGCCCACTGATGGCTCATTCCACGTTACTCATTGTGAGTATTACCTCTGCTTCTTCAGAGGATTTAAACCGACTGAAAACTCAAAGCTAAGGAAAACAAGAGGTATGTATGCAAGAGATCAATATTTTTCCAAACTTTTCTACAACACACAGAAACACTATAAGACACCCAATACACTCTCATACCCTTGTGTCCCAAGACAGAACACCTGCTACTGTAAGCGCAACACACACACACACACACACACACACACACGATGGCCATGATCTACTAAACTGACTTCCAAGTCGCTCATCAGAGTGTCTGAAAGACACGTCAACAGACCATATCTTATAGCTGTACCCTCCAGCTACGGGCAGCTGAATATCCACAAAGAGCAGACACACTGGTCAGCATGGTAGTGTCCAGTCGTGATGCGAGACCCTGGGTGTCACCATTTCCCCATGTAACCCAAGGTGACTCCGTCTCAGCTCTTGTGACCGCTACACAGTCAGTCCCTTAACGTCTCAGCCTGCAAAACTCACTTACTTCGTACAGTGGAAAGCAGTATTTCCTCTGTCCCCTCTAAGACCTCGAATTTAACAGGTGTTGTTTATCCTGTCTTTGTGCTAGTGATGTGTGGTGACATACAGAAAAGGGGCGTTCCGCCTCTCCATCTCCCCAGTCTTAAACACCCCCCTACACACACACACACACACACACACACACACACACACACGGCTAGATGAGGTCTTAACAGGGGAATCCCCTGGGCCAAAGAAGTCATTCAGCCTGACAGAAGCGAAAGCAAGGACTCCCTCGTTACATCACAGAAGCTTCTAGCGAACTCATCTCCAGACCCAGCAGGAGAGAGGCAGATAAAACCAGCAGGAGACGCGTCAGAGCAACTGGGCTAAGCCACTTAGCTCAGGCTAGATCGCAGACCCCATCCCTCGAGGCACTACATCTCGGACCTGGGTAAGCAGGTGAGGAGAGCATCGGGGGCGCGTGCGAGGCGCGGACCCCGAAGCCCTCGGCAAAGAGAAGGCAAGAGGGTCCAGATCCGAGGCCTCGCGTAGGGCGAGAACCCTTCTCACTTGACCCTGGGTTTCCAAGGGGCCCAGCATAGCCTGTCCTCACCCCTCCCCGACAGCGCCTCCCGCACAGCAGAGAAGAAACCGGGAGGAGTAGCGCAAGGGGAGCGAGGTGGCCCCAGAACCTCCACCGTACCGCGTTGACAGCTTGGGAATCTCCCGCCACGGACCCCGCCGGCAAGGCCCCACCCCGCACGCTGCGCCTGCGCGCCGGTGGGGAGAGCTCCGTGAGTGCGCGCGCACTTTCTACGTGTGCGGCGTGGGGGCGGGTCCTGCGGGAGCCCCGCCCTCGTCCCCCTCTCCCTCCCTCCTCCGGCTCCCCCTCCCCCACGCGCTGCCGCGGCCGCCGCAGGAGCCCAGAGCTCAAGCCGCCCGGCGACTCCCCCTCCCCCTCCCCAGCCCCGCCCCGCCCGGAGCCGGGGCTCCCGAGTCGGAGCCGAGTCTGCGCCTAGGGGTGAGTACGCGGACCCCTCCCCAGCACCCCTTACTTGGCTCCTAGGCTCTCACCCACCACCCCAAGGAAGAGGGGGAAAAAAATAAAAGCACCGGGACTCAGCTGCGCGTTCCCTCCCTTCCACCTCCTGCGGGACCCAGAGGTGCCCGGGCCCCACGGGACCCAACGGAGGCACGCTTTGTCCCCAAACCCGCACCGTCCCTGGCCAGATGTGAGTCCTCCCACCCCTGTCGGGGCTCCAGATGTGCGCCGTCCTGTGCCCCCGCCCCGCTGGAATATCCCAAGGGGTGGGACCCCTCTGTCCCGGCCCTCGAGTGCCACTCTAGTTCCACCTGCTCCGTTCAGGTGCGCGGCCCCCTGCACGGCCCTCCTCGGGTCCCAGCTACTCCCCAGCCGCCGGCGCCGCTGAAGGGAACCACCCGCCTCCGCCCCCGAGTTTTGCATTCTAGGGTCGCCAAGTCCGATGCCCTCGGTCTCTCTCTTTTTTTTTTATTCTTGTTGTTGGGGACGAAGCTGGCCTCAAACAAGGGGTCCAGGCTTGGGCAAAGGGCAGGGCTCGAGGGTGCTAGCACCAGACGAGTGGCTGCCCCAGCCCCGGTGAGGACTGATCTGCCGGCTGGAGAGGGCGGCCGGCCCGGGGAGCATGTCCTCTCCTGCGCCCCACACAGAGCAGTTCATTCATGAGCCGCCCGGGCCTGCGTTGGAGGGTGCGGTGGGGAGAAGATTCAGACCCGGATCCGGAGTAGGCAAAGGCCCTATTGAGGGGGAGGGGGCGCGCTTTGTCCCTCCCGGCCGTCTTGACCGCCTGGTGCGGACTGTCCCAAAGCTTGTCGTTGTGTTGCCCAGAAAAAAACAAGGATGCCCGGGAAGTGGGAAAGAGAGGTCAGAGGGGCTGGCTGCCCTTGGAGGTTTGTGTTGCCACCCGCCTTGGTCCCCTGATCGGAAGTCTGGCGGCCCGTTGCTCAGAGGGGCTTGGGGCTCTGCTCCCTACCTAGTACCACTCCCTGACCCTGAACCTCCTCCCGGTCTGCAGCAGTCCGGGATGAATGAGATTGTACCCAACACCTCCTGAAGAGGGGCCCACAGTCCTCTGCCTTCCAGATGATATGTGAGAGCAGGGGAAGGGGAGTGGCTGCCAGGCTCAGGTGGTGGGTATACTGGCAGCACCTTTGTCCTCCGGGGTACCAAAGGGTCTACGTCCTGGCATGTTCCAGGTAGCACATGCCGGGGCCTGCTGTTGAAGTCTTGGCCAGTGAGTGAGCGAGTAGGTGGGTGGGGATGTTTTGAGGCAGAAGATGGGTGATAAGTAGCTAAGAACCCCTTTTTGGCATCGGTACAAATTCCTTCCAAGTACAGCAGAGTAACAGAAAACCGGGTTCAAATCCTGGCTCTGCTGTTCTTGAGCTGTGCGACCTTGTCAAGTTACTTAACCAATCTGAACCTCTGTTTCTATCTAAAAGTGTGAGGAGTTATTACCACCTCCTTCCGAGGTGCGTCTTTGGGATCCAGTAGTTTAATGCAGGTAAATAGCCTGGCACTCTGCCTGACAGTTGATCGTTTATAATGGGTTCACGTCTCTGAACTTCCTGACCTATCGATCTCCTCTGGAGTCCCACCCTACCTACTGCAAGTGGGTGGGGGCACATTCTAGGACTTGGTGACAGAGTCCTTAGTATAGAGGAAGCCCCCTTCTCCTCACTGAAGAGTTCTATTGTATTCCTGTCATGAAATTATATGTTTTATTTTGGTCTTAACCAGCCTTCCTCCACTAAAACAGCCTCTTGGAGTCTATGTCTTATTAATAACAGATGATTGTGTGTTTTATTTTGTTTGAGATGAGATGTCATTTAGCCGAGGCTAGCCTTGAACTCCTAATCTTCCTGCCTCGGTCTTCCAGGTGTATACCAGAATGCTTGCCTTCAACAGCTGGTCCTTTTTTTGTGATGGTTTTTGTTTGCTTGCTTGCTTGCTTGCTTGCTTGCTTGCTTGCTTGTTTTAAGAGCTATGAACTAGAGTTTTGGTAGTTTGTGTTGTTTTGGTTTGTTTTTAATTTTATTTAATCTTTCAAGCAGCCACGGGGCTGAATTATTGTCTCGTTTTATAGGTGAAGGACTTGAGCTGGTTGAGTACCCCTTCCAGAATAAAAGCCAAATGTGTTTCACCTTATGGCCCTTGGTCCTCTACCTCTGCCTCAGAACTTGAACCCACAAACCCCACACCTGAGTCAAGGATCAGTTATGTGCAAGAAAAAAGGCAGACCTGTAGATTTAGAGCATGGCATTCTTCAGAGCTGGTGCTGACAGCCCTTAGAGCCCTGCTAGTGGACTCTCCTATTGGCAGGAGCAGCAAAATGCCTGGGCTTACCTCTGGATCTATCACAGAGTGCTGTGTGACCTTCCCCAGGTTATTTGCTGTCTCTGTGCATCAGTGGCCTGTTGGAGTTGTGAGGGGTGGCAAATAGCAACATTTACAAAGTGATTAGTGAAGTAATGCTGGGGACAGAATAAAAGTGAGGCAGGCCAGGTGTGGTGGAGTATATGTGTGTCTTGACTTGGAGCCCAGCCTAGGCTATATAGCTAGATTCTGAAGAGATGTGGAATGGGGGCCTGCCTATAGATACAATGGCTACACCTTTGCCTTTCCCAGAGTTCCACCAAAGCCAAGCAAAGCCATTGGTATTTGTTACAGATTGGAAGACTGAGGCTCAGATGGCATACTAAGAGTTAATTTCTTACGCACTGTAAGAATCCAAAGAAGCCCTGAACTCTACAAGGAAAATAAACAAGCAAGCAAAAAATAACTTCTAACCTATAACAGAGTTTTTGTTAGTGAAATGCCAACCTTGATTTGGTTAAGCTAAAGTCCTCATTTCTATACATTACCAACTTCTAGTATCCAACTAGAGAAATGCTCTCCCAGCTGGCTGAGTCTGATAGGGAGAACCTTCGCCTGCTTCAACTATCCCCAGGCATGCTGCCCTCCGCTCGGCTCCCCAGTGCTAGGCTGGATTTGAAGGCAGTTGCCCTGGATGACACAGCCCAGCAACCCCACCCCTAAAGAGCTCGAAGTCACCCTGTCAACTAGCAAAGCCACGGCCCGACTCCACCTCTCACCTGCCCTGTGACCTTCCTGGGCTCCACCCCCTTCTCTGTGTCCCTATTTCCTTCCTGTGGATGGGTGATCTGGGTGTGCCTTGCTTGCCTTGGGTGCAGGGGAGGATCTGTGCAGTTCTATCCTGGGGAGCTCTCACCCACTGTAACAGAACCACATCTTGTAGAAGCTCCCAGAGTGTCCCATCTTCCTTCAGAGTAGAGAAGACAGGAGCGGGAGGATGACATTAAAAGAGTTTGGACAGTGGGTGGGAACAGGCACCGAAGTTCCTGGAGTTCAGAGAAGTTAGGACTGGGGATGTAGCATGTTTGGTAACGTGCTTAGCATGCGGGCAGCCCTCGTTTGGCTTTCCAGCACTTGGGAAGTAGAGATAGGATTTAAGGTCATCCACAGCTTCATAGCAAGACTATAGCCCGTCTGCAGTACGGGAGACTTTGTATCAAAGGGGGAATAAAAAGGTGGGGGAGGAAGGGCTAATCAGAGCCTCCCTCCCCAAAATACCTATACCCACCTTTGACCTGTCCTGGCGCCTCAGCGTCTGTGTATCTTAATTTATACACTGAGACACAGACAGACAGACAGACAGACAGACACACACACACTCCTCCATTCAGAGACCACAGGTCCCTTTATTTCTGCACACTGTCATGTAGTTATCTAGCACCCTATTCAGACAGACACACATATGACCACATTTACATATCTGAACATATGTGTGGACTGCTCTTGTATTCACTGGCCCAAGAACAAATAATAAACATTTTATTTATGAAACTTCAGTATTTACAAAGGATCTTAAGTTGGAGATCGGTCTAGGCTCCGTAAAGAGACTTGGTGAGAGACAGAGACAGTGCCGGGTTCCGGACTGTGGATACATTTTTACCTCTCTGTGATTCTTTGTTACAAATTAGAAGAGTGGGGCCCAGCTACATCTTCATCTGTTCTAGGCCTGTCAGCAAAGCGCCCCTGTTCTGAGAAGGGTCCCAGCTTAGGTAGAAGCTGTTTTAGGTTTGCATTCCAGCTTCCATCATTTTACTGGTAGTGAGACCTTGTGAGAAAGTACTTAACCTTTCTCAGCCCTGTATTCACATCTTTAGTGACAGTGATACAACTCACAAGACGTTTGAGGGTTAAATGCAGCCATGTATGTTATTCTTTTGTTTTAAAAGATTTGATATTTATTTTATGTGTAGGAGTGTTTTGCTTGTATGTGTCTGTGTACCATGTGGGTGCAGTACCAGCAGAGGCCAGAGAGGGTATCAGAGCTGGAGTTAACAGATGTTAGCGGCCTACCCTGGGAATTGAACCCTTGTTGTCTTCAAGAGAAGCCAGCGCTGTCGTCTGCTGAGCTAGGGCTGGAGACCCATATATTGTTATTCTTAAAACAATGGACACTAGATAACTAGTACTTGCTACAATGATTAAACCCATGTGTTTTTAAAGGCAACTTTGGACCGGAAAGAGGAGCCTGTAGAACACATGCCGGGAGTTATTTTCTGCTCTGTCCTGAACCAGCCTTTGCAGAGACTCCTTTGGACCAAGAGAAACACACAAACAATGCTCATGTCCTCCTAGAGAGCGCCTAGCTCCTGCCCTGTGTGATTGAATGTTTGAATGGGATGAGGGTACTCCAGGGCTGCT